TTGAGAGGGAAGCTATGTGAATGCACTAAGCAGCATTTTTAATCTAGCTTTTAAATCAGGTTTATGGCCCTGTAGAACAAGGAACTTTTTCCATTTAAAAATACATCTATCTTGGTTGATCTGCTTGTTTTTTTTATCACTGTCACGTCATAATTCAAAAGACTACTATTAGAAACCTTTTCCCTCACGATCTGTGCTTTCGAAATGCACCGACCTTCTTTCCCCAGTCCCTTACCCTCACCCTGAAGGCCTGTCCAGACGAGCGCGCGTGTCCGCCCGGTTGGCGGGCAACTTCTGCTGTGCTTGCCCATGAATGTCGTCCACACGTGTGTAGCATGGAAATGGCATTCCGTGTACAGAAAAAAGAAAAGCATGTGGTGCATAAATTGGCTTAATAAAAGAGATGTTATTGGAAGACGCACAGTTATGCTTCGGGAACAACAGCATAGCCCCGAGCAAGATTTCAGAATATTTAAGAAATAGCGTAAGCATTTTTTTAAAACCTTACTTTTTTAGCAAAGGTGGAGCCACACATGATATAAAAAAAAAAAAAAAAACATGAGAAACCGTAAAGCAGCAAAATCTCGAGCCACCGGTTATCGCCGTGTGACTTCGCTCATCGGGTGCTCCGGCAATTTGACGGTTTGCCCTTCAACTGTGACCGTGTGCGTCTGCGTGTGCGTCTGCGTGTGCGTCTGCGTGTGCGTCTGCGTCTGCGTCTGCGTCTGCGTGTGCGTCTGCGTGTGCGTCTGCGTGTGCGTCTGCGTGTGCGCGTCTGTGCGTACTTTCTGAACATGTTTTACCTAAAGATAAGAAGTCACCTTCCCACCGCATGTGGAACGGGCATGTCCGCCGATCAGACCCGTTCGTCTAGATAGGCCATATTGATTTATTATGGAATGTATATTCAAATAGATGGATCCATAGATTGATAGATAGTTATATACAAGAGTATACGAGTTATTGAAGAATATGCCGTCACTTGCGAAACGGGCAGTTCTTCATGAAAGAAAAGTATACATACATGCATTTATATACATACATACACATACATAAACACACACATATGCGTATGAATATATGTGTGTGTGTGTGTGTGTGTGTGTGTGCGTGCGTGTGTGTGTATACATATTCATATATATATATATATATATATATATATTATATATATCTATATTGTGTGTGCATATATGTGTAATATATATATATATATATATATATATATATATATATATATAATGTATTTACTCACATATATATACATTTACATATATATGCAAACACACGCACACGTGTGTGTGTGTGTGTGTGTGTGTGTGTGTGTGTGTTTATATATATACACATATATATATTATTAAATAAATGAGAGTTTATTTGTAGTCAATTGCATGTTACTTCCTAATACCCATTAAGATACAGTCGACACATAACTGTCTCGTTGACTACAGGTTGGTTCACACGTCTGGGGTGTCCGCCGATCAGACCCGTTCGTCTAGATAGGCCATATTGATTTATTATGGAATGTATATTCAAATAGATGGATCCATAGATTGATAGATAGTTATATACAAGAGTATACGAGTTATTGAAGAATATGCCGTCACTTGCGAAACGGGCAGTTCTTCATGAAAGAAAAGTATACATACATGCATTTATATACATACATACACATACATAAACACACACATATGCGTATGAATATATGTGTGTGTGTGTGTTTATATATATACACATATATATATTATTAAATAAATGAGAGTTTATTTAGTCAATGCATTGTTACTCCTAATACATTAAGATACAGTTGACACATAATGTCTCGTTGAATTACAGTTTGGTTCACACAGTCTGGCGTTCACGCTTCACGGCTAGTTTGAATCTTTATGTCCGGCCACATTTTAGTGTCTACTTGCATTCCGTCCGATGAAGCGCCTTTTGACCCATGATTTCTGAGAGATTTCTTTATGAACATATGTTCTACCTAAAGATAAGCAGCCACCTTCCCACACATTAATGATTATAAATAATACCCAAAACCTTTACAGAAATGAAAATTAATCTACCTAGAGTGAAATAACACACCAAAAACACCATAAAACCAAGCATGGCAACCCATCGTGACAATCAAGGTCGCAACGTTCAGCGGTTGGTGCCAGTGTCCCAGTACGTGTCAGTGTTAGTGCATAACGTTCCTACTGCTGGACTACAGGACTTTTCCCTTTAGTGGTTTCGCGGGGAAATGCTTGGAATTACCCAATAAGTAATATTGCATGAAAGATTATAAACAGAGGCCTTTGAAAACAGAGAGAGAGAGAGAAGAGAGAGAGAGAGAGAGAGAGAGAGAGAGAGAGAGAGAGAGAGGAGAGAGAGAGAGAGAGAGAGAGAGGGGGGGGGGCACAGAGAGAGAGAGAGAGAGAGAGAAGAGAGAGAGAGAGGGGGGGGGGCACAGAGAGAGAGAGAGAGAGAGAGCCTAATACATTAAGATACAGTTGACACATAAGTACTCGTGCATTACAGTTTGGTTCACACAGTCTGGCGTTCACGCTTCACGGCTAGTTTGAATCTTATGTCAGGCCACATTTTAGTGTCTACTTGCATTCCGTCCGATGAAGCGCCTTTTGACCCATGATTTCTGAGAGATTTCTTATGAACATATGGTTCTACCTAAAGATAAGCAGCCACCTTCCCACACATTAATGATTATAAATAATACCCAAAACCTTTACAGAATGAAAATTAATCTACCTAGAGTGAAATAACACACCAAAAACACCATAAAACCAAGCATGGCAAACCCATCGTGACAATCAAGGTCGCAACGTTCAGCGGTTGGTGCCAGTGTCCCAGTACGTGTCAGTGTTAGTGCATAACGTTCCTACTGCTGGACTACAGGACTTTTCCCTTTAGTGGTTTCGCGGGGAAATGCTTGGAATTACCCAATAAGTAATATTGCATGAAAGATTATAAACAGAGGCCTTTGAAAACAGAGAGAGAGAGAGGGGGGGAGGGGCAGAAAGAGGCACAGAGAAAGAGAGAGGGGGGAAGAGGGAGAGATAGATAGATATAGATAGATAGAGAGAGAGAGAGAGGTGGGGGCACAGAGAGAGAGAGAGAGAGAGAGAGAGAGAGAGAGAGAGAGAGAGAGAGAGAGAGAGAGAGAGAGAGAGAGAGAGAGAGAGAGAGAGATAGAGCCACAACAATGCATCAAATTAATTTTTGTTTAGTCCACAATTCAAGCCAAGCCGTTCCTTCAGAGAAATGAGCAGCCCTGGAAACCCTCAGACACTGCCCTTCACCGTGGACCGAGTGCCAGATAAAGAACTCTCTCGGTTACGCTCCTGGGGGTTCAGTGGCCAGACAGAGATCGAACAGACTACCCCATCCCGTGTTAACCTCCCACCTGCGTGAGTGCTCGCTCCCAGAGGTGATGCTAGCCATTAAAATCTCCCAAGAGTATAAATGGATGAGGCAACTGACCAAGTAGATCTTCTAGATCATCTATATTGAGATTGTGTGGAGGAAAGTAGATGGATGCAACCGTGTAAGGTCGTGCCAAGCCTATCCTCATGGCTTTCACCTGCAGATGGATGGCCTGAAAGGGAATATCTTAATGTACCGTCACTGCTCTCCTCCATGAGGTCCATTATCAAAGGTTCCATAGTGGACTTGCAATCCTTTCAGGGAAATCAGACAATTTTCCAACTACCCAACTACCAAGGTCATCTCTAATCTCTCATAGCTTGTTACTAGAGGTATGCCTCCATTACTCCCTCCTTACTCGAGAAGACCTCATCTGATGCTGCAGTTCCACTGAATCAGGGTATCCAGTTCTTCAGCTACCTTTTCATAAGGTGTTTCCCAGCACCTGTGGTTAAAGCCCGCCCCACACCTTTAGACTTTCCCTTACCAGTGTCTTGGGAGTTCCTTATTGACAGATGTTTGCCTGTGGAACTATTTATCACAGGCTTTCTTTGGACAGATTCAGGGTTGCTTTGCCTGGGTAAAGGGCAGACCTGAGCCTCTGCTTCAGGAGTATTCAGGGGTAGTCTTCTCAACAGACCCCTCATTTCTACTCCACCTCTGGTGGCACAACTCAACAGAGGCAGTTTCTGGATCTAAATCTTTGAGGACTGAGGTCGAGCTGTAGTGGCAGAATGAGTGACATAAGTATTGGCGGATAAAGGATAACAGGATGGAGGCTGGGCATGAACCAGTGCAAAGGATTTACCTGGCTGTGCAAACAGCATACGGCTGACTCTTGACTCTGCAAAACTATCTTTCTCTTTGTTCCTTATTACCAATACTTCTCTTTCAAACTTGTACCTTATGTGTTGTTCTGAAGAAACTTCATGGGCTTCTTTACTGTGATAACAGCAGACTGGAGCTGGACAATTGTCATCTGCTTGATGACCTGTTTTACTACACTTAACACACACTCTAGGTAGTAATTTTCCTTAAGACAGCAAGAGTTGGCTCATTGCCCATAACCCTAGCAGTGGAAGCACTGTTTGGGCATATAAGGCTTTACCTTGAGGTGGTACCATGCCAACCGTTTCCGAAAGGAGTATTATTTCAAAGGTTAGAAGAAGAGCTGGTGTCGATTGTTCCACACCATCAACTTTCTTAAAACACTTTACTGCCACTACCTTGAACTTCTTTAGTTCCTCTAACAGAATACTTCATCAGGTCCTGGGAAAAGACGATTCCATTGCACTGATTGTATGTTTTGTTAGGAGAACATGAGACTTGAGCCCCAGGAATGCCACACATCACACGCAGACGGACACTCACGTCTGGTGATGAAACTTCGACTATCAGGTTACGATCTCACTGTGGGGTGATGCGAGGACTACGTTGACACGTCAACTGTCTTGCGATGCACTTGAAAAATATCAAGATCCATGATGGACACGCCATCAATGGTCTTTACTACACGATATTTCCTATATTAGATACTTTCATGCTCACCAGGTAAGATTTCCTTGAGGACTTTTCTCCTTACCTGGGCTGGGAGCTCACAAAGCATTTGGAAGCTGGAAAGGTTCCAGTGTGACGTTCCATCTCCACCCCCCCCCCCATGCACCATGGAGTCCAACGAGGGGAAGCTATAGGTTGGGGTTCAAGTGCATGCAACAGCCACAGGGGTAATGAGGAAATATACACATATACACATATGTATATGTATATATATATATATATATATATATATATATATATATATTTGTATATGCATGTGGAAACATATGTATGTATATATATATATATGTATATGTATACATAGGTGCATATGTATATATATATGTATATGTACATATTTGCTTATGTGTATGCATTTATATGTATGTATATACGTATCAGTATCATATATGTATATGTATATATATATGTGTATATATATGTATATGTATATATATGTATATGTATTTGTATATATGAATATGTATGTGTACTCGAACATATGTGTATAAGTATTTATGTATGTATATGCACACATGTATGTATATATGTATATACATATATACGTATATGCATTTATGTATGCATATGTATGTATGCACGCGCACACGCACATGCGCGCGCGTGCACACACACACACACACACACACACACACACACACACACACACACACACACACACACACACACACACATACACACACTCACACGCACACGCACACACGCACCCACACACACACAGATAAAGAAAGGCAGATAAGTACATATAAATGTATATACATTTACATACACACATATGTAGATACATAGATAGAGAAATAGATAGAGAGACAGAGACTTTGGGGATTATTGAGTAGCAATCCTTACTGACCCGCGTTCAAATCCCTCGCCGCCAGTGGATGGTAACCCTGGCCATTCCCTGCACACAGGGGGTAATATAGAAGCAGAATAAAACACACAGTATGCCACGCCGAGAATAGCCACTATAACAAATTGAATAAAACTAGTTTATTATTATTATTATTATTTATTTTTTTGAGGGGTTTGTGCAAACCTGTAATGTAAAGAAAGGTACTATTGCTCCCGGGCTTAAATGGCCAAGAAATGTTATAAAAAGGATTCCTAGTAACGATAGTCTTAGTAGGCAGTAAATAAGGATAGAAAGGTAATTGGTAGATCAGCACGAACACTTCATGAAATGAAAAGAAAATCCTTTTCCTGTGCTTTGTGAAGAGAAGGATATATCCGGAGAACCTTTCATAAGGGTGGTGTAAAACCTGACTTGTAATACCTTAACTATTTATTCATTATTGTTCTTATACATAAAGTGATCAATTGTACATGTAAGCAATACCAATCATATGAATTAGTGTGTCAGTAATACATGTGGTTATTTGCAGTGCAACGTTATAACCAAACTACAGTGAACTCTCATGAGTCAGTTTTGAATAGACAATTTATAACTAAATACTCAGTACAACGAGACAAATACTAAAATTTAAAAAAAAATCAAAATGTACGAATCTTTATCAAAGCAGTTAGTCAGATTAACACATGGATTGTAGTGGCTAAATCATATACAAAGAAATTAAAAGAAATATTTTTACAAACAAATAAAAAAATTAAAGTGTATCTCTTTGTGAATAAATGGCTTACACATTCAACAAAGTGATAGGAAAAGGTTCGTTACCAAAGCTTAATCAAACAAATATAAAATCATATCAATATTTTCAGTAAAGAAATTAATCATACATCCAAATAAAATTCAATCATTGCAAAAACTTAGTCTATATATATATGCGCGCGCGTGTGTGTGTGTTACTGAAATTAGGGAAAATGACGTTTTTGTTCTTGAGAAGAAATTTACAGATCAGCATCTCATTTATTTAGCAGATAATAATAGTACTGATAAGAACCTTAATAACAACAATAAAAGGACTGAAACGTCAGAAGGTCTCGCACGGTCAAGCCAAGGATTAACTTAAAAGGCATCCTCTTAGAAGTAAATCTCACGAAGCAGCGTCGACATAATGGAAGGAACTTGTTTCTTTTGGTCATACTTATCGGTCTCATAGAGGACTGCCACTTCCCTGCTGACTTTAAGAAGAATGGAAAATAGACTTGTTCGTGGAGAAGTATTGGCATATTCCATGAGGTTCTTGGCCAGGTAGTGGATGAAGACACTCCCTTGGATTTCTTTGCATTCAGGCCTGTAAGCCTCATAGCCTGCAATAAAAACGAGAATGGATTTAATATGAAAGGACAAAGAAGGGAAACATAACAGAGAAAAAAGAAAAGAGAGGGAGAGATATTTTAAAGAAAAGGGCACAAACACAATACACATACATATATCTATCAATAAACATGCCCATAAAAGAAAAAAAGGACAAACCCAAGGAACTGTATTGGCTCTAACCCAGTGTATATGAATATATATATATATATATATATATATATATATATATATATATATATATATATATATATGTCTATCTATCCATCTCTATATATGTATATATGTATATATATATACACTTGAAGGGTACGCCTTCCTAGAGGGTCATCTGTAATTTCCAAAGGTGTTGCAAGCCCTTAGGAAATAGCAGGATTTTCGCGAACTGTGTTTGTTAATCTCAAAACGAGAGCATGGTCAAATAATGAGAAATTTAAATCCCTAGGGGAGGTGTGGTAGTAAAAAGGTGAAGAACCACTGTTCTAATCCTTTCTTTTATTTTCACAAGTAACACCCCAGGCGCAACCTTCGCACACGTAGGAGATTGGCTCATATCAGGCCCATTTAAATTTTCAAACTGTCCTATGATGTAAATATCATGCATGCCTACACACACACACACACACACACACACACACACACACACACACACACACACACACACACACACACACATATATATATATATATATATATATATATATAGATATATATATAGGGATAGTTATGACCTCAAGCCAAAAACATACGGCACCCGCCTTTTTACTGCGGAGCCCTCATGCTACAAACACCTTAACAGACAACAAACAACAGGCACATGAGATACAACGCGGTACAATTAAATGGATATACACAAACATTACATACCAAAACCGCATTCACGAACAAAAAATCACACAACGCCTGCACGTAGGAAACATCTTCATCCAGCCAGACATGATCGAAAAGATCAAACAACAAACCCAAGAACACTTACAGAACGGCTGGTACAACACATCCAAGTAACGCCATGGCTGCAACACAACACATTACACTCACGCCTCACGATCATACAACATAACGTACACACATGGACATGCAGACGAAGACAAGAACTCTGGAACCAGTACAGACTACACGATCCTGACATCACACTCATAAACTCACACTCACTCAAACATCCACAAACAGTAAAAATATTCAACTGCAACACATACACATTCAACAAAACAAACGAGTACAATGACGGTATAGCCAATGCTGTCAAACAACACATCAAACACAAAATACTAGACACTTTCACCTCAGAACTCATGACTATTGAAAAAGACACCCCTCATGGACCCGTTATCATTGCCACCACCTACATCCCGCCACACAGACCTTACATAAACCAACCTGATCTCTTCCAGCTCATGCGACACCAAAAACCAACATACATACCTAGACCACCCCGAGAGAACTTTAAACATGCAAACTGGGATGGGTTTAAACAAGCACTTGAACACACACACACACATTAGATCTCGATTGGCAATCCACACACACCATAGACCACCACCTTAACCAGTGGTACGCAGGCATACAGACTGCCCGCGAGGCAAACATTCCTAAAACAACATTCAAAACACACTAAAAATACAATATAGACATCTTCGGGAACTTGCTCAAACACAGGGATGGAACACATAACTTCGCACACAACACAGAGAAATTCAAATACAACTCACAACGAAACAAGACACATGGGAAACCAACAATGGGAAACACTCACAAGAGAACTATGCAACAACACAAAAGATCCCAAAGTCTTGTAGATGAAATACAGGAGACTCATAGGATCGAAAAGACAGACGATCACATACATATCCAACACCAACAAACAAAAGAGGGGATGGAAGCTGTTCACAGGGAGTTCTGGCAACAGAACTTCCAAATCTCCCCTGCTGAAAACACAACTTTCAATCCATAAACAAGAGTCGAGGTAACACAATCACTACAACAACTGCAACACCTGACTCTCCCATCACAAACAATATCACTCAATACACTCACACCAGACAACCCTCTCTCACACCCCATCACGCCAGAAGACATGAGACAGGCACACACACGATCGAAAAACACAACACCAGGAGCCAGCAACATTAACTCTCATCATGCAACACCTTCCACCTATCATACTCTCCAGACTCAGACACATCTCCAACGCTGCCCTGGCAACAGGACACTTCCCTGACCAATTCAAACAAGCCTCACTTGTTCTGATTCCCAAGCAAGGGGAAATACAGGCCAACACAAACAAATTCACAGTCATACCAGTAGCAAGACGCAACCCACCTCCATTCACAATAAGCAACACAGACATACCATACACAGCCACGGGAAAACATGCCAGACTTACACTTCAGCAGAAACGGTATTCACGCACAACACCGGATAAAACAAGCAAGCACAGTTCTTAAGAAACTGAAACGCTTCTCATACTGCACAACACCCATTCGAATACACATCCACTCCACTGACTGCAATCTCTAAATCACAAAAACTCGAGATGCAATCTATACAGAACAGAGCACTATACTGGAAAAACAATACCACTATACAAGACTGAATACGCAACAGAATCACTGCACCAAACATACAACATAGAACCACTGAACATACACACACACAAAGTAAGCGAAGCTGTGATCGCATACAACATATAGACAACACGAACTACAACGTCATCATAGACAAACACACACACACACACAAACAAGTCACCCGTGGTGGCCCAGGACACTACCGCTCGTCAACGGAGATCCCTCAGAACCTCTCTATGTGAAATAAATGCTTGAGAGAGGAAGCCTCCGGTCGTACACATACGCGTGTGCGAATCGAAGGATATATCCCGCCCCTGCTGGAAGCTCACACATCTGTATGTATATATGTTTTCTTTTTTTTCTTTGCGATTAAATGTTTCGTTTTTCTGTTTTTGAATTGACTCAGCGCATCAAACCGCCTGGGCGAGGAAAAAGCCCCCGGACCACTCACACCCGCATAGCAGTGCCTTTGCTCGGTTCGGAGGATGATTTCCAAGCACAGACCTATTATAATGTCAACTTCACACCATCACTCTAATCACCTGCAACCGCTTGTGCATGTTTGAACAAAAGGGCCATCATGCCCAAAGACATCCACGATATCACTATACTCACATCACCATATACCATTACACTCACATCATCAACACCTTATCCCTTAATTTAGGGAACCCTCCTCTCCTCTTTACTCCATCTAACGTGGAAACGTCAGCAAACGATATCTAAAAGTATCTAAGCCAGGGCCGTCAAACTCGTTTACCTAAGGGGCCAAATTTCACCTTAGTATACAGTATGTATATATACATATATATACTGTATACACCCATATGTACATATATATGTGTGTATGTATATATATATGTACATATATAAATAATAAACGAATATATATATACATAAATATATATGTATATGTACACACACACACACACATGTATATATATATATATATATATATATATATATATATATATATATATATATATATATATATATATATATATATATATATATATATATATATATATATATATATATATATATATATATATATATATATATATGTATATATATATAGTATATATATATAGTATATATATATATATATATATATATATATATATATATATATATATATATATATATGTATATATATATATATATATATATATATATATATATATATATATATATATATATAGTATATATATATATATTTATTTATATATTTATTTTTATTTATTTATGTATGTGTGTGTGTGGGGGGGGGGGGTATGTGTGTGCGTGTATGTGTGTGTGTGTGTGTGTATAATTGGGAAAAAAAATATTGTTGTTGTGGTCAATAAGGAGCCGAGCACTTTGTCGAGTCTTCATTAGTTTGTGCAAAGGGTAATGGTACTTATTTATATATTCTGTTCGTATGTATATATAATCATGAGTCGACACAACGAAACGACCATATGTTTGACGTAAAAATATAGGTGGCTATTACATTCATTACAAATTCAAAATCACAGAGAAAACACTAAAAGAGTGTAATCGATAATCTTAGAAGACGAAAGCCTAGTATAATTAACCACGTAAAACGGTCGACTTTAAGACTAAAATAACAGGTGTGCCGCAGACCGCACATGGGAGCGTGGCAGGTAACAGTGGGATGCGTGTTTGACACCCCTAATATAGGAGAACAGTAGGATGCATGATGCGAGCATTCCACGCACATATCAATAATTTCTTGGGACAACTGAAGTAAATTTTAGCATGAAATTGATATTTTCTGAAAGCAAGAGAAGCATTTCATGCTATCCGAGGTTATATTCTCATCACAAGCACAATTATGGAAAGGTGGTGAAAGGCGACGAAAAGAGGAAAAATCTGTTGGAAGAAACTCGATACTTAAAACATGAAAAGTGTGGCCAAGAATAAACCACGAATACAGGTTGTGGATTCAACATCAGAATCAATGTGAAAATTTGATAACTGAACTTACCCGGGTAGGAAGCCCACATAATAAGCTGGTCAGCTTGGTTGGGAAGTATGTACTCGTCAACGCTGTCCGTGTAAACCGTCGTGCTACGCCGCGATACGCTCACGCCCTTATCCTTTCGGTCGCCCCTGCATGCCTGTCGCGGAAGTTGATACTGTGAATTCTGTCTTTGAAGAATGCTTTTCGGTTACGGCAAAGAGTTCAACACGAGAGAGGAGACATTACCTGAATGAAGTACAGCTTAGGTTTGCCGGCTAGACTTGTGCAATTTTCAGAAGTGAAGTATTTCCATAGATCCTTGGTTAAAATCTTGTCGTCTTTGACCCACAAGAATTCTTCTTTCTTTTTAAAATCTATCCCACCATGGCTCATGAACACTATGACAAAGGCGTCGTAGCTGCTGTGGTCGCGCTCAGAAACTGTAGGAGAAGTTATAAATAAATAAATAAATAAATATATATGTATATATATATATATATATATATATATATATATATATATATATATATATATATATATACACACACACACACACATATATATATATGTATATATATATATATATATATATATATATATATATATATATATATATATATACATATATATACATATATATATATACATATATATACATATATATATATATATATATATATATATATATATATATATATATATATATATATATATATATATATATATATATATTATATATATATACATATATATATATACATATATATATATATATATA